TGGGATAGAAAGTAATAGCTTGGAGGTCAGGGCAATTTGTTTTGACTAGCTTTACTCGTTTTGAATTTGAGCGATGTACATTGTACCCCGATGCAAATTCACCCGATCAAGAGCCTTTTCTTGTGCTGTTGAAGCACTCATACTCATATTGTTGGGAAAAAGGTCCTGTTCGGTTTCTTGCAGGCAAAAACACTGCTTTGTGTCAGGATGTTGACAATAATATGAATGTTAACTAATAATATTAATATATATGTACTTGCTTTAATTTTATGATGTTTTCGATGTTATGTCATGAAAAACGTTTGACCCTAATCATAGTTATGGTCATATCGATATTTTCTTCACAGCGGTACGACTACCAAATCTGATACTATCTGGATCAACTGTCCGATCCCCAGTTGTTGCGAAAAAGTGCGGTTTTAGGTCAATAGTGCCATCGCACTATATCAATATGTTGCATCTGGGGACAGTTGATTCAGATCATGTACCTACAAGTTCAACTTCAAGCTGGTCTTAGACTCAGCTCAGGTAAGGAGTCAGGGGTATACTTTATAGGTAACATTTCAGTGCCTAACATTGCCTAATGTGCCGCTGATTTGGCGAATAATGCAGCGATTATTTGCTCGCGATTATTTGCTCGCGATTATTTGCTATATAATTTTGATTTATCGCGTTTTGTGTTTTGAGTACGCCTATGTTTGTGTGATATTGTCAGTTTTAGTACAGCACTATTGTCACTAAATGACTAAATTTCTTAATCTTACATCTCCCAAATCTTCAGACGCTACAAAGTTAGTAATTAACGATATCATGGAAAAATGTAAAATTCTGTCTTCGTCCGAAATCTCTGTGGATGAGAATCTACTCTACAAGCAGGCTCTTCGTTACATTGAAAAGAAATGGTTAAATGCAGAAGAAGAGACGGTTTGCATCGAATCTTATCGATCCGAAAGTGGGCTTTACTTCTCTGTGATTTATGGCTCGTCTTCTCATATGAGAGGGATTGGCGCAGTAAATGTTCACTGTGACAAACGTTCTAATTCAGCTGAAGTCACTGAGTTTTGTGAACTAGTTTTTAGGCCAGAGATTATAGCTAAAATGAAGAACGTGGATATGGTAATCCTTTCTTTGCAGTCAGAAAGGTTTATGGATACGTTTTTCAACAAATTCAACGAAGTATCGAATAATAAATACGCTGTGAAAGATGAAGTTTATTTGTATTTACCAAACCCGAGTACCGCGATCATCTCTGAAGTAATCCCTGATTTACCAGACGGATACAGATTCGGAAAACTTCAAAACAAACATGTGGAGTTTCTTGCAAGAATCTGGACTCAAGATCTCGGAGACACACCTCAGAACGAAGATAATGAACATGTTGCCATATTTCATGAAAGTGAAGAGATTCCAGTTGGCTGGATCAATGTTTATTCTGACGGAACTGTCGGACAATTGCATGTCTCACTCTCTCACCGTAGGAAGGGCCTTGCTAGAATCATTCTTAGGAAAATGTACAACACCATTAAGGATACCTTTAGTTTTGGACCATTTGTAACCATATCTATAACTATTGACAACCATACTTCAGCTAAATTATTCTCTAGTGAAGGGTGGGTTAAGCACAATAGAGCTTATTATAGGAAGTACACGTATCTTAAGACTAGAGTTGATCATAATAAATGGTAAAATGCATGACGTTCCATGATGACCAAGTTTGGTTACCTTCTCTGCTAGTCTCTCGCTCGGTTCCCTTTACTGGGCGGCTCCAGTGGCGTAACTTTGCCTGTTGGCGCCCCCCCCCCCCCCCCCCGCTTAAAAAGCCCCCCCCCCCCCCCCCCCCCCCCCCCCCCCCCCGTTGGCGCCCGCCCCCCTTTTTAGCACCCCTCGCTAAAATTGGACAAAATAGATGATCATGATTTTTTAGAGGATACGCCTGTAAAAGTTTTAAAAATTTGTCCCACATTCATAGTCAAAGTCAAACGACGGGGTCGGCGGTGCCCTTTGTTACGCCATTGGGCGGCGCTCAGCCTGTCATTCCGCCGCATCTTTATTTTTACATTAACAAATTTTGTAGCGATAGCAGATGGTGGATAAGTAACTGTAAAGCATGTAAAGTTAAACTATGTACGCGAACTTTTACTTAGAATTTTAACGTTAACTTTAAATTTTCCTGGTTTCATTATTTCAATTTGCGAAGCGAGTATAAGTAGCATTATAATTATATTTATATGATTAAAATATCGCCTTAAATTCATGTTTATACGGAGAACCTAGCCTATAAAAAAATGTATATTATTTATATTTTATATTATTTATATATAATATTTAGCAGGAACCTCCCAGTCCCACGACAACCTTAAACATAACTTGAATTTTTCAAATTTTTTGGATTTATAGTTTAACCTTACGGGAAGATCATAACACTTGTTTCAATTTAGTGTCCTGTTTTTTGTGTTATAATTTGTAAACGGAAAGAATCGTGCATTCTATTTAGTGGGCAGCAAATCCGAGTGTGCTAAATCACTCTACATGCTACACTCTTCGAGATTTTTCTAAAAGGGCGCCCGACAGTTGAAACCAACTTGAATCGATGTATTTTCGGACGCTGATTCCGAATCACCCCAAACCAATCTGTATAATTAACACAAACACATTCTATTACTATTACAACTCAAAAGTTCAGATGTAAGAATTTGATGTTGAAATGTCTTATTGCAATTGAAAGCCTTCTCCATAAAAATCTCTCAAGATAGGTTAAATGAAGAGGTTCGGACTTGGGGAAGGGGTCTTCACGAATGTACAGGGTGGGCCAAAAGTCAGTGTGCAAACGTTGGCCTTAATAGCTCAGTCACTGAGTGCCCAATTGAAATACTTCCTTCTGGTATGACTTAGTATCACCACTGGTTCGAGGAATTTGTCAACTCGAAAAATATTCGCGTTCATTTTTTTCAAATGGAGGTTCATTTTCACATTTATTTGATAGTTTGCATAGTCGGATCAAGCTAAATGTTATTGAATTGTGTTTGGCCATTCGAATTACGTTTGTCCTAAAAGAATTAGAACTGTAGCTTCTCATATGACCGAGATATGAAGCATAACGAGTTAATTCATTACGTGTGATCAGGTGATTGGTTTACCTAATCACGTGATAAGGTGACCCCGTTAACTACCCCTTTAAACATTATGGGAATTGTTGTTGTTGTGAAACCAGTATTTCTGGTACCCATAGGGGATTTGAAATCAACTTATAAATCAAATGTCAGCAAAAACATCATTCCTCAAAGTATCATAATCAAACCCCGGGCGAGTCCAAAATTAGAAACCTGAGTATTGATTCATATGAAATATGAATATCTCTTTAACGATAAAATTTCCTGAACCAGATCTGACTCGCTATGTCTGTTCAGACATGTTTGTCTGCCAGATCGTGGTACCTGAGTCCCTTCATTGCCGTGCATTGAAATCACACAATAACACACAAAGCTAGAATCACGGCAAATCGACATTCATCGCTTTTTCATCGGAGTACTAATGGACAGTGTTCCTGGAATCCATGGGGCCTGCGTAAAAGATTTGTTGAGGCCAGCAGCACGATTACTCGAAGTGGAGAATCCTGAATGTTGCGGAATCGAGAATCCTGAGTGTTGTGGAATCGTCTTCTTTTCCGTGCTGTGTTGCGGGGTCACTTTTCTTTCAGTGGTGCAGATCTCTCCTCCTCGTATGAAGTGATACTTTTCTGGCTCTTTCTCCATCTTTGCTTTTAAAGATTCAACAAGTTTTCTCCGTATCAGCCTCTCCTCAGGAGATCGATCAGGACTCAGAAATGTTTTATTGAACTGTGACGACTGCTTCAAGTTCTTAGCATTACTGAGCACAACAGAAACTGAGTCTGATCGGCTGAAGCAAACTCTGACTGGACGATGTTGGCCAGGCTTCGCAGTTCCCAGACGGTAACATTCCCTCACGAAGGGTTTTTCTGCTCCAGCAATTTCACTAAGCATACCTCCCACAACTGTATCAAGATTGGTTTTAGGATCCTCCCTGAGTCCGTATACCATCACACAGCGACTGCGATTATCATTGTCAACTGCTGATTTCACAGCCGCTTGCAAAGTTTTGCCTGGGATCTGTGGACTGTTCTGCTTCACTATGTCGCTAAACGATTTAACTTCTGTTTTGACGACCTCCTGAACTTTCTGAACATGATTGTCCTTCTTCTGAATAATTTCGTCCTTAAGCTCCAACATAAGTTTCTGATTTACAATCTGATCAGATTTCAAAGTGTCAATATTTGATGACGCAGATTTAAGAATGTCTGTGCTGCAGTTTACAATCTTAACAAATTCCATGACAAATCCAGCAAGTGAGTCTTTGCTGACATTGTTCCCTTTCATAAGAACATGCTTCGTAACTTCAGTGATGTTTTTACACTTAGCTGCTCCAGTCAACGAATCGAAAGTTCCCCGAATGTCCTTCTCCAATCGATGCAGGGATTCCAATGTATAGCTCATTATGTACAAGTAGCGATGTACACGTTGTACTCGATTTAAGCAAGGCTGTGCGATGCTGATAACAAGAGCAATTAACAAACGTACATGAATTTGATAAGACAGCAATGGGTGCCCAATTAAGGTGTCGTGTCACGGTGTCACATAATCACCCAGTCAATTTTGTTAACGAGATACACAAAATGCTTGATAACTTCGTCATTTCTAATCCGTTTTGCCTCATGTTTCAGATCATATGCAACATTTGATAATCTACCGTCTCTGAAAAAATTAGGCGTTCAGCATGTTCAGAGAAAACAATATAGGTGTTTTAATATTGAATGGGCGTGGTCTAAAATATTCGAATTTTCAAATTTTGACGACGGAATCCTCGAACCAGTAAGTACAGTATGCCATCTGCAAAGCAACAGCTCTCAAATATAAACACGGCGAATAAGACCCAACGTTTGCACACTGACTTTTGGCCCACCCTGTATTAAAACGATAACACAATTAGCTAAGGGCACGCTCCGTCCAAATTTGAATAACAAACAGCTTGAACCTCCTATTACTAAGCACGTAGATAACAGGGTTGCTGACCACGTTAATAGTAAGACAGTACCGAGAAAACAACACACCCCACACAGGGACAACTTCCAGGTGTAGAGCTTCAACTGTCCAGATAGCGAGGGTGGGGGCCCAGGACAGGATAAAAGCTAGACCCACCCACAGGATCGTTACTATAGCTCCTGTAATTGTTATTTAAATTATAGGAATTTGTATAATGTATATTATTTATACTAGCGACGATTGATTCTATTGCCATAGAGGAGGGACATAAGATGAATGATATACTCAGTATTTACTATTCAACTGTTGACAACGACTAAACCAATTACTTCAGTGAAGAAATACGAACAGCTGACCAATCAGTGCATTTCAAGTTAACTGACCTCTGTTTGGTAGAGCCTCTCCCATACTTCTTGTGATATAAAAAACTTTGACAAGTAGGATAATGTTAGCTGTAATTGTGACTATCATTGGTAGAGCAGCAGTCGCTCCACCCCACACTACGAACCAGATGTCAAGTTCCGTGTCAGCTACATCTGTATTTAATTTGTGTTATGTTGTAATACCCAACAAAGTAACAAATGTCAAAATACAAGGATCAGTTTGATGTAATGAATCAGAGATAAAAATGATATAAGTTCATAAGAAACTGATGTCATTAGTGGATTAATAATAATAACATTAACATTGTCTCCATCACGAGACTGACATATAATACCTGATATAGTACAAGTAAGTTGCGGTGGACTGAAATGAGCTGTTGGTTTGTTGACTTGAATGACAAGACAATTTAGTGCGGGTACCAGCCAGGCTACAACCACCACAATGTAAAACCACACCACTCTTATTGGTACAAGTGGTGGATGCAGAACCACGTGTGCTCTATAGCAAGCCATCGCCATTATCAGCAACGTTTCAGCCACAAACGGTAAGAACTTACCGTAGGACTGGACACTACAGATGATATCTCCTAGTACCCAATCATTTGCGATGAGTGTCACTAACAGGGGCACGAACTCTATTATAATTATAAGGAAGTCAGCTGCTGCTAAGTTTTCTATCAGCAAGATAGAGATTCTGTCTATATCTATAGCACGATACTTGAGAGAGGCAAGCAGCACGAAACAGTTTCCTGCCAGTCCCAGTAGTATGAGAAGTGAGGTGAGGATTATTAGGGTTACTCTGGTAGCTGGGGTCATGTTATCCAGATTACTGTGAGCCAACCAGGAGAGGTTGCTGAGGGTAGTGATCATTTCACCGTTGAGATGGAGAAGAGTTTACTTCACCCTAAACAGAGGGATTTTTACACGAATGAGAAGGAAAGAAGAAAAACGTGGTTAAAAGAAAAAGTAAAAGTGCTGGCCATTCGTAAGAGTACGTGATTTAGCAAGAAATTTTAATTTCATCATTATAATAAATGATATAACGTGATGTAATGTAATGTGATATACTGATATAACAAGGATATATCTTGTGAACTTGGCTAGTATATATGAAACTTTTGATATGGAGTTGTAGAGGGAGTTATGTGCCTCGCCGGGCTAAAGTAGTGGATGACCTTGCTGTACGGCAAGTTAAACAAGGATCTGAAACTACTAGGTTCCGTACAGACTCAACTCTGCACCCGTGTCAATATGTTCATTATATGCAAGCCTCTTGATTTATAATGTAGTGTGGTATCAAATTCTAAAGTACGAATGAAAAAGTAGTACTTTTTGCCCTTGTTTGCAGATATTCGTGAACGATATTTCTTAAAAGATCGCCCGTGAATAAATAAGTAAACATACTTTTTGTTAAATTAATAAATATAAGATACGTATGTACGTATCTTATACTTACAACGACAGTTGTACAACAGTTGTACAACAGTTCAAGAAATAAGTAAAGTTTAATGGCTAAACATTTTTCAGCAGGGAGAAAAAAATACGGTAAAAATACGGTGTTATACAATTGTAAATACCACGATGCTGGAAGTCATGAACTGCGAACAGTGAGTTAACAATTGTAATCTAATAGTAATACCGCGACTAACCTTGTAGAGTTACTTCAAGTCCTGGTCATACCTACTCAATATTTTATTTTCAATTAAGTTTTAAGATTTATACTAGTACACTACATTATTGATTCAGATTTTCAGTTACACATAGATATAGTGTATGCAACGTGTATCAAGCTCGACCGTTTACGAATATGTGTAAACATTCGCCCGCGGGACAGTGCATCAGACATTTTGAGTAGTAAGTTACTGGCCAGTGATTTGGTCTTATGAGAACCTTTGTATGGTGGAGCACAGCACTGGTTAGTGGTTACCCTGATCATTATGAATATGAGCAAAAAATATTTTTCCGAAGCCCACCATTCGATACACGATTTTGGACTCGAGGCTTCCCCTTTGTAATGCGATCTCGAGAGACTTTTTTCTATGGAAAAACCCTTGAGTAATTCTCTATTTTATGCCGTTGCCCACCCCCCCCCCCCCCCCCGCGTTGGGGTCAGTGCGTAGAGGCCAGGGTTAGGGGTTCGAATAGTCATTCAGGGCCACCTAATCCTATAGAGAACCCAGAACAGTCGAGTGTAAAGCTTGAATAATCATCATCCTAAAATTTCTTCTAATATTAAAGTCACTATTGTGACGGTACATTAGAACTAGACAGAAACAAAGTGTGAAGGGCCTGAACGGAACCCCTCGGTTTCAGTTCCTTGTTTAACAGTTAATACTGCCGTACAGCAAGGACATCCACCGGGTTCTCCAAGGATGGGCACTTAGCTCACTCCACACTATGCTCTGTCAAATGTTGCTTATATAATTATACCAAGGATCTACAGGAAATATTTCCTTGTAAGTTTAGAGGGCGATCTGTGAAGTGTGAATAGACAACTACCTTATTCCCATTTCCCAACTATAGGAACCAGAATTCCTATACTATCCCATTCCCAACGAGCTACACCAAGCATAGTTTCTCTTTTTCGCCTTAAAGGTATTTGCCAAGTACTACTTGGTCGTTTGCTCTATCCAGAGCCCTCTCGCTTGCAGTAGCGCGCGTCTCGTATTATGCAGTATGCACCTGTGAAGTAGGAACCCATTGATTGCTGTAATTATCTCAGCCTCAGATGCAGTTATTACTATTAGAGGTAAACATCGTGACACAGCGAGAGTATCAGTAAAACTAAAACTCCGCCATCTGTTACCAGTTTGCAGTTGTTAATGGAAATGGAAATAGCCTTGTGATTAGTCCCTGAATGCTGAAATTGATGGCCGCTGAACTCATGGGATTACTATTTACTGCAGAACTCGATATTAACCGTGTCTCTTTCGAACATAGGTTGTCGGCCGGCTGGTGGATCTACAAAAATTGGATCTTCGACCCAAGCTCCTACCTACGTTGTTGTAGTTTTTGCAGATAATTCATGGGGCTATACTTATAGTTATAGCTGTTTAGAATTTCATTGAGCTACTTCAGTAGATTTACCTGTCGTAATACGTACTACTACTGGAATATAGAAACTTATAACAATAGACTCTATTTTTATGTGGCCTTATGGTCTAGCCGGAGTTATAATTTGTAGAAAGGAGCAATAAAAGTTTGAGAAACTAAACAAAGCAATTTACAAAGTTGTCTATTTGCTATTGATTGTAGACTTTAGTGTTAGGACTTAGTGTCCATTTAAAACACAAACAACAAAGGTTTAACGTTTTAACGACTCCGACTACCCCTACTAAAGCCACATGACTACCAAAAGATCATTTGTAGCTATTTGAATTTCCCTCTTTAAGTTGAGGGTTAATTAAGACTATCAGTACTGCTTTGGTGTGTTTATAAACGGTGCAGCTCTTATTTTTGTTTTTCCTTACGATATTAAGTTAAGCATCATTAAATTCAAACGTTTTAGCTTGCTTATAATCCACCAATTGGATCATCATTTCGTTTGCTCAATAGATTTTGTGCTGTTTAAATTGTAATAGCTTAGGAGATTCAGAGGTCGACACGGAATGGTTTTCCTAAGAGTCCTGTGTCTCATAACAAGTTAGTGACAGTCGGAAATTCGGCAAGTCTTAACTTACCCTTTAACTTTTCATAATCATAGTTATCATGATTCCGATTGGTTTAAACTTAACGGAGATTATTTTGTCCGCTTTTGTAACTTCAAGTTGTATTGAACTTATATTCGATTCAAATGATATTACACGGCCATAAAACAAAAACATCCTTCAGCAAAATTTTAATTAACATTTTCCAACTCATCACCAGCAATAAGTTTACGTTTCACTGTTTCAGTTGCTTGCAGTGCTATAAAGGGTGACGATGCTGCTTGGTCGAATATTCGAGATCACACCAGCCAGGACATCCCATTCAACCCGGGATCACAGACCTTGATGATAAGAGAGGAAGAGCTGATAGCTGATGGTAAACAAAGGGATATAAGCCTGAATGTGGAGGGAGATATGGGAGCCTACCAAGAAATTAAACTTAGCATTAACTGGTGAGTGAAAACCACCAACAGCCTCATCGTTCACAAGACGTGTTGTAATAAGTATCTGCTTGAATTTTACAAATAGCGTTCCCCTGATTCGTTCTTAAACATGGCCCCTGTGAATGACCACTAAAATAGGCCCGTTTGCAGGATAACAGGATACAACCCAAACTACAGGGTAGTGGTCGTGGAACAAGCTTGTATGGCAGAAAACCTCAGTCAGTACAAATACGATCAGCTATCGGAGGCAGCAAGATCTACCTGCTTTGATGCCCAAACTGGGGAGGTTAATTGAGTTAATCAATACCCTTCACATAATCAATATCCGTACCACATGGGAGCCGGTACGGGAGGATATAACATAAAAATAAAGTAAAAATTGCCGAATTTTATCTAAATTATGTAAATTATGCAAATCATGAACAAACCCGCAGAGACATATCTGGGAGTTCGAGTTAAGTGAAGAAGTGATCAAAATAACCTGCAACGGAGAAAGTATTTTGGATTATAAGGCAAGTTAATGAAAAATATTTTGGATTTTAGGATAGCCTAAAAAGTTCTAGCTCTTATTTATAGTACATAATTATTCAGTTAACTCCGTACATAAACATGACTAATTCTAGGTTAGCAACGCAGTCCCAGCAAACGAGAACCAGTGCTACAGTGACATTCTGTCTATGTGGGGCACGTTGTGGGCTAATCGTGACGTCATGACTGTTGAGTTTAACGGAGTGCTGTTCAGTTCAGATACTGAAGCTGAGTACAGACTCGTAACCAAGGAGATGAAGAAACCAAGTAAGAAGTTACCTTATTAATTAAGGATTTACCTATCAAAAGTTATTACTTTTATTATGTTGGTGATAACTATTTTTGCTATAAAAGGGAATGATAGCAAACAAAGGATGTGTTTTGGGACGAGCAAGTCTTTGCGTTGCATCATTCCCTACCTTCAAAACTCACATTTCCCCAACCACTAACTCATTGTAGAATCTACATTATTGTAGGTATAACAGATAAGTACATTAATTTCAGCTACCAACTGTAAGTCAGGTAACCAGAATATTTGACCAGTTTTAAAGTAGTGGAGTCAGTTTAACTTCTTACCAAAGTTGCTTTATATGTATAAAGCAACTTTGGTAAGAAGTTAAACTTAGTTAAATGTACATTATACATTATACATTATACATTATATATTGCTTTACATGTTATTGTACTAGAGTATTGTACTGGAAAGTTCTAGACTATATTATTTGGTATTGTCTGAGTATATGATTGGCAGTTGGAACTTCCTCAGAAATTCACGAAACAACAAAATATACAACTGCTTAAATGTGGCAAATAGTTAATAAATCATTAATCACAACAGAATCTTATCAATTTTTTACATTTTACAAATAACTTGAATTGTCTCAAATCTGGAAATCTGAAAGCTGCATTACAGCAATGACAGAATCAACTGAAAGAAACTGATATCTGATCAACGAGAGATTAGAAATCAGCCGTCCAATCAGAAAAACAATTTCAGTTTTTTGGATTGTTCACATATCACGTTGTTTATTTCAAACAACATATTTTATCGTTATAACCATAATATGAAATAAGTAATGAGGGAACAGATCTATCGATAAATAACGAATTCTCATTTTTGATTAAATCCAATTCGTTTGAGAGTTCGTGCGTTTTCACACTAAATAAGTGGCCGACTACAGGCTAATGTTATTAGTAAGCTCGCCGAGTAAATTAATAATTGAATTAATCCCGTAAATGTATACTTGTAGCTTCAATGGAATGTGGTTAACACATACCGTTGCATAATACATACAAAGAACAAGTGACATGTGAACAAATCCTTTACTCTACTCGTTTTGATAGAAGATAATAAATCATGTCTAAATACGGGAAACTTGCTGACTTTGAAAAAAAGAAAAGATATGTATAAAATCAAATAAGATGTACAATATGACCGATCAGGTGTGACAGAATCCGATCGAATTAAAAGTTTTGAGTTTATCTTTATCGGAGATATCCAGTAGAGATAAACTGAAAACATTCATGTTTAAGACCCGCTAAAACATTCTATAAAATCTGTCCATGCCTCATAGCTTCAAAGGACAAGGTAAAGTTAAGGTCGATGTTAATTCCACAAATTTGAGACAGACTCTCCCAGCGTGAACAAGCTGTATCAACGACACATGGTTCAAACTTGCTCATTCATAATATTAATGGTTCAAATATGACGTCATAAAACAACACGACGACTAAAATTCCCATCACAATCCTAACAACAAGGTTACAGTGTGGTATGTGAAGTGGAAGCGGAAGTAGGAGAGTCTGTGGTGTTTATCATGTCGGTGGGAGTGAAGGCGATCATGCCGCACCCTCCCCTGTCTGTCTTCATGCAGGGTAGGTCTGTAAACTTGTCTGAAGAAGTGTTGAAACAGTGGACGGTTTTTAGCATGGCACCGTTCTTTATACCACCCGCTAATATTACCTGAAAATTAATTAAGTAACTAATTATTACGCTAATATTACCTGAAAAGGGAATTGTATTTAAACATTTCGTTATATATTATACTATTATATGTAACGTTTACTTAGATATTGAAAGATGTTAAAAAACAGCAACAACTAAAACAATACACCCAAAAAACTCCAGATCCCAGTATCAACTACCTTATTATCGAGAACGCAGACACTCCTCAAGGTTATACCATCACTCTTGATATCAAGCATCTCCCAGGCCTCCTTCTGTGGATCAAACAACTCTACCGGCACTGGACGGTGTTCCACGTCGTCATTCTCGTGGTAGATGTTCCCTCCGATGACGTACATTATCTCGTTTACTACTGCCATGCTGAGGAGAAGGGGATAAGTTCTTGTTTTTAATTTATATCATAAACATTGCTTGTAAATTTGACAGTTAAAAGTTTTCGTTACTTTTATTAAATTTGAATATTTGTGGGAAACGATGAGGTTTTGGCATTAAGTAAAATTATATGTGTTGTAAAATTCTTATTGTAAGATTTATTTTAGTGCAACTATTCAATTCAACAGTCAACACTGATTAATGATTATATTTCTGATACACAGTTTGAAAATAATATCATTTTGTAGGACATAGAATTAGGTGCAAGATGTTCATGTAGGTGCGGTAATATTTTGCAAATAGTGGGATTCCGCACCTGCCTAAACACTAAAACTGTTTTATGTGCGGTACATTTGGAGGAACTGCAATTAAGCTGAACAATTCGCCAAATTTGGAGCCTTAAGGTACTCTCAGGTTGAATCAAATGTAATACACGTATTCCTAAAGCACGTTCGTTCCTAATTTGCAGTCACTGCGACAAAATAAAACATATGAAATGCATGAAGTTATCTAAGTCTGAGGCAAAAATAATTGTAGATTCTGGCTCTGCCTGGATATGTTATGACTGTATTTCCAGCGCCTTACCAGTAAATGCATGCCCCTCGGCAAAGCCACCGAGACAAGGGCCCGTCATAGGTCCTAAATTTAAAGTTCAATGCACATGCTGTAATGGCTGGATTTACTCCCCCGCCAACCTGAAAACCTGCCACTGGTGCGAATCTAAAGTACATACCAAATGTCACTCCGACTTATTAGGATGCAGAAATTGCTGTGAAAATATGATCCCGGGATACTATGTACATTGCTATCAGCTATACTCATTACATACACATACTCACACCGGCGTAATCCACAATCCCTACGATCGCTATCAGTTGATTAACGAAATAGGAAATACAATTGACCAAGATCAGGAACTCGAATATTGGAATGAGATTTCTGATATTTTAGTTAGCTGCAATTACATGGAGCCGACAAATGTAAGTTCGTCAGGACCATGTGATCTTAAGATATTTACCTTAAACATACGGGGACTTCTTAAAAACGTAGACAAATTAAGAGAAGATATATTCACGTACTCGAAGTATGATGTCCTTTGTTTTAACGAGACTAATCTCTTGCAGGATAAGCTTCCTAATGGTATTAATGACCTAGTGCTTGAGGGATTTTATGAACCACTGTTACGAGATCCAATACGTAGTTCTGGTCGTGGTGGGGGTTTAGCAATTTATATCAATACGCGGGTATGCGAGTCTGAAAATATTGAAAAATTCTTTCCCCAAAACTTTGATGTGACAGACAAGAGTGGTGAATTCATGTTGGTAAAACTCCATAACTGCAAAGGCTTTAACAAAACAAAGATAATCGTCAATATATATCGGTCACCAGCATCAAAAAATCCTGATAATTTTAACAAACTCATTGACTCCCTATTACACGGCATGGAAAGGCACTCGAGAAAACATACTATATTAGTCGGTGATTTCAATGTAGATCTTACACATTATGATACTGACAAACATTGTCAAAATTTGATTGAAACTATGACTAAATACGGTTTCTTTCAGCTAGTCTCACGTCCCACACGTATCACTGATCACAGTGCCACTCTTATAGATCATGTTTACAGCAATAACGTACAACACACACACAGCTGCAATGTTCTTACTGTTGACCTGTCTGATCATCTAGCCACTCTTGTTACTATCTCACTTGGGCAATACAGCCACATTGCAGGGAGTAGAAACAAACGACACAGAGTCGACCATGGAATGAATATTGAAAAACGTATGTTTAACGAGTCGAACAACCTTAAATTTATAGAATTAATTGGATCCGAAATGTGGGAGGAAGTCACACGTGAAAATTGTGCTGATGAACAATATAACAAATTTATTGAAATATACGGTCAGCATTATGATGAGGCATACCCAGTGAAAACCAATCATGTGCGCCGCAAATTTGAAAGGCAGGACCCCAAACCTTTTATGCTACCCTGGCTTGAAATTGCCTGTGCTCGTAAAAACAAATTATTCCATGCCAAAATAGTGGACCCAACGGAGGAAAACTACAAGGCTTACAAAAAGCATAAGGCATTCTGCGACAAGCACGTCAATAAGGCAAAAGACAAATACTACAAAACACAATTTGATAAGTATAAAGATTGTTCAAAGAAACAATGGCAGCTGATCAACACTCTACTTGGCAGAAAATCTAAATCTCATAACAAAATTAAACTCCAAAACGCCGACGGAAATATCATAAATAGTGACAGTGATGTAGCTGAGCACTTTAACTCTTACTTCTCCAACATTGCCACAAAAATCAAAGATGCGATCAGCGCGCGTACTGTATTCGATCCAGGGGGTTTTAAACATTACCTTAGCAGCCCAGCTTCGCAGTCTATGTTCGTAAGACCAACTACCGAAAGTGAAGTTGAACAAATTATTAGCAAGCTTAAGAATAAATCCACTCAAGACACTAAAATTGAACCCCTAAAAATTGTAAAAGACTGCCCCTCCTTCTGTAAAGTCTTGTCCATAATCATTAACACATCATTTAGTCAAGGTATCTTCCCATCATCTCTCAAAATAGCTAAAGTTATACCAATTCACAAAGGAGGCCGCAAATCCGACGCCACTAACTATCGACCCATATCTTTGCTGTGCACCTTTTCCAAATTGTATGAAAAACTTATGCATAATAGAGTAATGGACTTCCTTGACAAGAAAGGCTCGCTCTTTGAAGGGCAATATGGCTTCCGGCCAGGCCGATCCTGTGAGCATGCTCTTTTGGATGCTCAACACACGATTCTGAATTCCCTTGCCAAAAAGGAAGTTGCTCTATTACTCCTAGTCGACTTTAGTAAAGCTTTTGACGTTTTGTCTCATGATGTATTGATTGACAAACTCCAGCACTATGGAATCCGTGGGCAAGCTTTGCAATGGTTTAAATCCTACCTGAGCACACGTCAGCAATACGTATGTTTGAATGGTATTAAATCAGCTCTTAAACCTATTACATACGGAGTTCCACAGGGCAGTATTATGGGACCTTTGTTATTCCTAATCTACATCAATGATATGCCAAATATCAACAGTATGATAAAGTTTATACTCTACGCTGATGATGCGAACATCATAATAAAAGGCAAAAATGCAAACGATGTTATACAAAAATTCAACCAATTCTCCCACGAGTTTGTACGCTGGGTTGACTGTAATGGACTTGCACTTAATCTAAAAAAGACCTGCTATATGCTTTTCGGTGTTAGAAATACTGATAATACTCCAAATATTCATATTGCAGACACACAATTAGAACGTAAAAGGGAAGCACGGTTCCTTGGCGTTATAATGGATGATAAACTAACATGGTCTAAGCATATAGCAGCTGTTAGATCAAAAATGATGCGGTATGTAGGAATTATGTATAAAATAAAACGTTACCTATCGATTCAAATAAGGCTACAGATATATCAAAGTTTTGTTCAATCGCATTTAAACTTCTGTTCAATTGTATGGGGGTTTGCAGCAAAAAATCACATTGAATCACTCTTCTCACGACAAAAACAGGGTATCAGGGCAGTAATGCCAGGTCACATTAATTACTTTTACAAAGACGGTCGACTGCCAGAACACACAAAACAATTTTTCAATAACAATGGTATACTCACGGTGCACAGTGTTATTGTAAAAAACACACTAATTCTCATGCACCGAATCAAACATTTCCGCAGCTCAGTCCCTCAACAAATCTGTATGACTATCCCAGAAAATGCACCCACTGCAAACTCAGATCACGTGACTGCAGCATCCTGGTTAGCCGAGTACAACACCACACATTTCAGATCTTCGATGTTCTTCAAAGGACCTTTACTCTCAATTTATGCTGTAAATGCAAATGTAAGCACCCTACCCACACTTTTTTCCATAAACCTTTTTAAATCGGCTACAAAACGCATGCTCTTGAACCTGCAGAGTGAAAATGATGATGACACGTGGCCCAGTTTCTTATTACATAATATTCCAGGTCTAAGAAGGTCACAACGTGTTTGAAAGTTACTGGACACAACGGTCATTATATCATTTTAGTGAATTAGTTAATTAGTTAATTAGTAAATCAGTTATTAGTCATATGGTTATTATTAAGTACTATATATTATATGATATTACAAAAATAAACTATGAATATATATTTGCACACAAAAAAACCAGAACAAACTGATCACAGACTAGCAGCAACTAATATTAATGGATTAGCCACACATCCTAAATTCCAGGTCCATATTTACACTGCCACATTCCCCACTATCACTATTTTCCTATCAGCACAAACCGTAATTAATTGATTTCAACAATCACAAACACTACATATCCAACTAATGGCATAACATAGCAATATCTACGATATCCTAAATCAGTCCCTAACAAACTTAGCGCGAGTCTGAAAGGCTGTTGGAAGCACAGAGTGCTCCATATTTTGTTTTTATCAATAAACCTTTTTTTTTCATTTTTTTTTTTTTTATAAATTTATTAACTGCGTGCAAATTTGTGTTTCAGATTTGATCTATTTATGATATATATTTATGATTATGTAATAAAGTTATTAATATTATATTCGTAAACATTGGCTGGCTTACAAACCAGTCCCCAAACAAAACATTTGACAGCGTTTTAACTAGTTAAAACACTATAAATCTATTAGGGGGGGGGGGGGGGGTCCACGTTAAAAAAAGTTAAAAAAGTTAAATTAATTAATGTTAAATTTCAAAATTCAGGCTTAGAAAGTTTAACTTTTTTAACATAAACTCAAATTTGGGTTGAAATTGCGATGGAGTGAATATTCTAGACTAGTTTACTTTTAGGTCATGCGTTGGTATTTTTGTTCATTAGTCATTACATGTAGGAATATAGGAATGCCCATGACAACAGTAAAACAGTCATATAACATAGGTACAACCGATAAATAATTGATACATTTGATCA